TGACTTTAGTGGATGGAAATGTTTCTGTGGAATTTTTCTCTGGTGACTCGTAATCTAAAGCTGTTGAGTCCAAGGAAGGCAGTTTTAACCACAGTATTTAATCTTACAGGGACATTTATTGCAAAGCTTTTTGTTTGGCCTTGTTTAATATAAACCACCAGAGGGATGTTTCTTGGTTATGTCATTTCATAAAGCAGAGTGTGAAATGAAAATTCCGGGAAAGGCTCCTTCTTACAACTTCTATCATAGACTGAACACTGGAAGAGAACTTTGGAGTCTTAAAACAGCATCAATAAAGTGTGAATGTTCATAATAATTGCAGTGACAATGGGTAACCAGCATTCACAGATGAATTGTGTATTTTGGGCTGCAAAGGTCATGTTCTATTACATTCTGGATCTTCCCAGCTACTTTTCCCAGAGCACAGTACCTTTCCTAAGTCTGATTCCTCATCTAAAATGGGGTTGCAACTAAAAAGTTGTAGTTTTACTACATGAACCTTTTTACTACATGAAGCTGTTTTGAGGATTACATAGGATGTTGAAAGGAAGTTCTTAGCAGTGTGTGACATATAATAAATATCCACTAGATGTTAGCTGCTTTTGCTGTAAGCAAAAATTCATTATGAGCCTACTATTTGTTAGGGACTCTGAGTACCTGACCTCCAACCTTGATTAAATCTTATAGGGAAAGAACTATTGGTCTCCACTTTATAGATAGAAAAATTCAATTACATTTTCAAGGTAATCTGTTTGGAAGTGGCAGAGCAGAGATTCATTTTGGTCTAAAAATATATTGAGTGTTTCCTGACTATCATCAGACTGATAGAACTGTCCAATGGTCTTTTTCAATGTCACTGATTCAAGTTAACATTTGTGAGACCTGGAAATCCAAGATAAAGTCGAAGGTAGTCTACTCAAATAACTGAGTTAATGAAAATCGATATTCTTTCTTTTAAAATTCATCACAAAGTTTACAGTGAAACTCAAAGTGTCAGTCAATTAGCTGTGTCTCATATGTAAACTTGAACAAGTTTAAGTCTCTGTATGACTCAGGTTCCCAGTAAAGATCAAGCAGGTACACCTCAAATGTTTTCAGAGAGAGGGAAATGAACTGTTTCTGTAGCTGAGTGTTGTAGGGTCAAATTCCAGTCATGGGGGACTAGTCTCCTTGTTTTCCTGTCCTTCCCATGCTGGCTGTTTCCACTCTGCCCACCTTGGTCAGCTGGTTGGCCTCTCCCTCTCCTCTGAGAGAAAGACAGAAAGCATGGGTGCAGAGATTTGCCAGAATCTCAACACCAGTCCTCATGGGCTTGACCAGCAGAAAGAGGACCTTGCTTTCCTCTAGTGTCTGCATGTGGCTCATGATAAGAACCAGTCTTCTTAAGTCACAGGTGAGTGGAATGAAGGGCTGGCAGCCCTCACAGAGACCCCTTGGAGCAGAAAGAAAGGGCTCCACTCCCAGAAATACACAAAGAAAATTCACCATGGTGACCAAGCACCACTGAATACTCTTTCCAGAAAGAAGCTATGAAGTTTGATTTTTGTTCTGTTCTCCTTCATTTATTTAGTTAAAAGAAATAGAGTCCTTACTTTAGTCTAGCTATAGTTCTGAATATTTAAGAAAAGTGGAAGAAATAAGAGTCCAGAATAGTGCAACTTTACTCTTCCATAGCATTGTTATAAAGGACTGACACACATTTGGTGACTGTTACACTTCTGGTATCCACGTGTCCCAAAACAATTTCACCGGGCTGCATCCAGAAGATCAACAGGAGCGGTTCTTTATGGAGACTCCAGAAGAGAATCCATTTCCTTGCCTCTCCTAGATTTTGGAGATCTCTGCATTCTTTAGTTTTTTACTTCTTCATCAAAGCATGCACACCCTTCCTTCCACTACCTCTCTTAGAAGGACACTTGTGATAATCCAGGGTAGTCCCCAATCTCACAATACTTAGTTAACTCACATTTTAAAAGTTAGTGTTCCTGAAAGGTGGCATTCCTAGGCTCAGGGAGTAGGACAAGGACATCTTGGGGACCATTATTCAGCTTCCCACAAGCTTGACCTCGGAAGGCATGATAGCCAAACTAAGCACATAGCCACCTTCTTGGCAAAACAGGCAGGTTCCCTAAGAGAAAACCACAAATTGTACAGAGGATGAAGAAATCATACTCAGTATCTGAAATCTAGTTTGCTTCTTGACAGATAATGATAACAGCAAACATTTATTTTTCTCATGTATCAGGCATTGTCATACATGCTTGATTTCTATAGCTCAATCTTCATTATTAATAATCCACATTGGGTAAAAGAGGAGACTAAAGCACAAAAATGCAAATCAACTTGACCAAGATCATATGAACACCCAGAGCAGAACTTGAGCTAGAGGTGTTTGATCCCTAGGGTACCCTCTCCATCTTCTGAGACAGAACTGAGAGCACAAATAAGCAGGCTGATACAAAACAGAAGCAAAAGGGTATTGCAGATGCAAGAAAGAGTGAGTGAGCAAAGCCGAGGCAGGGAGATGAAGGCAGTCAGGTCAGGAGTAGGTCAGGCTGAGTGGAGAAATCATGAGAGATCAGGACAGAAGGTAGGAGGTCTTGACACCATGGACCTTCTCCACTGTGGCTGAACCCCTCAACACGTGATTGGAGGAGGGGTTGAGGCAAGGCTAGGCCCTGCATAAATTAGTCTTACAGCCCTGAGGAGTAGGATGGCTGCCTCTCGCCTTTGTGCCTTGTAGCTCTGTACATAGCAGAAGGAGTCTTTTTCCACCCTATGGACAGTGAGCCCAGGGCAGCTTTGTGTATCTCTCTGGCTGTAGATGCTGGTAGAGGGTGCAGGAAACTACAAAACTCACCACCACTAGAGGGCAGGGGCAGGGACAATGCTGGACTCAGATCCCCTGGAACAACACTACAGAGTCAGCTGGAAAAAGCTTTGCCCACAGCGCCACCATTTCTAATGTCATGGAAACTCCCCATGCATCTGGAACATATAGATCTACCCTAGAATCCTAGCTCTGCTGCTTGCTGCCATAAGCCTCTGGTAGCATCTCAACAGCCCAGCCTCATTTTCCTTGTTCTTTAAAGCAGAAATCAAATTATTTTATTGACACATGTTAACTTGCAAGGTGACTCAGATGAGGGCTCTGGCACCAAGATGGCACCCAGTGCTCTTATTAACCTTAGATTCTTGTTTAATTTTGTCACCAATTCACATTTAGGATCTTGTGGTATTCTGCCTCCCTTTATAGTTGAGGAAACTGAATCTCAGGGAAAAGAAGGGATTTACCCAAAACCAGCCAATCAAGAAACAGGAATTAGAACCTGAAAGCTAAGAAAGTTGGTTGTGTCTAAATTTCATGGAAAGAATAAAGCCCAGGGGTCATGTGAGCCCCAGGTATGCCTGGCTCCCAGAACAGCTCCAGTCCTCCAGGAAGCTAACCAGCGCTGGCTGACACTGGATCCGCACCGCTCACACTTGCCTGTACCTCCTGCCCTTCTGTAACCCTACACGCCTGAATCTCCCCATATCCCACTGTGATCCTGCCCCAGCCTGCACCCTCCCGTTAGGGAGGACATTGCCCCACCTGCTTTAGTGACAGCTATGATTGCAGGCCATCCTGGCTGTTCCTGGTCCCCGCTCAGGCTGCAGAAGGCAATCCCATACCACCTGAACCTGCTCTGACCTGGGAAGTCCCAGTGCTGGGAGCCCCTTCTGGGAGGGAAGGGACTTGGCACAACTGATTCTGGGTCGGAACTGTCTACACAAGGTCCAAGAGGCTGCAGGTTAGGTGAGAGCTGGCCTTCCACCAGGAGAAATTGGTCTTGCAAAGAGGGAGCCCTTGTGTAGCTGCCAGCCAGGCCCCTGGACAGCCCTGGGCCCTGATGCTGTGTGACCCTGTGCAACAACACACATTCTCTGGGCCTTGGTTTCTCAATCTGTAATGCCAGCATGGTATGTGGGTTAGAGACTTCAAGGATCTAATGAGAATGGTCATCTGAGGCCAGACTTGCAGCACCCCCTGGTTACCATACCTCTCTACATCCCTGCACTCATCTGACAAGGGTCTCTGCTTGAGTCTCAGATCAACTGCACCTGCAGCAGACAATGAACGTAAGCCCCATTCCCTCCGTATAGTACTCTTTCAAGCACCATGCCTCGCATTCACCTTCCACCCTCAGAACAGAACTGGACTGCCCAAATTTCAGGATGGGAAAGGCACCTCAGCACAGAGCATGGATTCTACTGTCTGACTCTGGCGTACTTCTCCTAATTAGCTCTCCTAATTAATGCACAATTGATGTTGCCTTGAATGAGTTACATAGTGATGTTACCTTGACTATAAAAGAAGAGTGATGGTAGCAACTTTGAACCTCTTACAGCTTTTCTAGAGATGTTAAGTGAGACAATATAGGTATGAGTTGGCATGATTGCACTCCTGCTTGTTAGATTCCTGGCTTGCTCAAGTTAAATTGGTTAACCGGAGAAAAGCATGTAAATGTATTTAATACACATTTTCTATGGCACTGAACCCCTTTAAGTAAATAAATGCCCAGAAATGCAGTTAGAATTAGTTACTTAGATTGTGAACAAGACAAGGAATAATAAGTTGTGATGAAGCAACTAAATTGAAGTTTAAATCCCTAATTGTTTTAACTAGTTATTTTAATAGTGCCAAACTATTTCAGTCTCAGTTTCTCCTCTTTGAGGATAAGACTGTTGCAGTTTTCACATGAGAATTTCATCTTCTGCTTTTTAGAAAACAGCACAGACATCACAGTGACATTTGTGCAATGCCTGTTTTCCCGGTGCCTCTAACTTGGGGGTCAGAGGGATTTGCTTTGGCTCCTTCCTAGGAAAGGCAGCAGTTCTGGTATTGTTATTCTTGTTATTGACAAGGAGGTGGCAGTAGATAAGTGGAAAAACAAAAGGAGTTGTTTGTTTATTCCACCTGTACAGATCTGAAGGGACTTTGCAAAGAATCATATCCCCAGGTCAGAAGATGCTCATGGATCAGATGCAATGCCTGAAAGCACAGTGAAAATCATTGGAAGTGGACACTTTCACTACTTTGTAGAGAAGCCAAAGAAGTGAGGGTTTTTTTCTGAAAAATACAGTATCTGTCTTTCTTAGATGGCAAGAAAATTGCTTGTTTTAACCCAATAATTGACATTTTAAATATACTATCCATAGAAAATTAAGTCATTAAGATGTAACAATAGAAGGAAAACAGCATTGCAATTTTCATATGCACTGTTTTCTGGGTATTTTTTCATCTTTATAATTCCCCATGCTCCTTAATTTCTTGGGCCAATTTTCCAAATAGATGGGAAATACCAGCCTTATGACATTTGTAAATGGAATATTGTTGTTTCTCTTCATCAGGTTTGTAATCGACCACATGCAGTAATTTGGGGGGAGTTAGTCATTTTTAAATTGAAGGAGGATTATTAATGAATCACAAGTTGTGAAATTCTTACTTATTGTTACTCCCAATCAATACTCCTCTAAGCAGGGATTTCACCAAGTGAAGCTAGTGTGCCCTCTTCCCTTCCAACCTCATAACAGACACATTTAAGAAAGGTCACATATTTCTAAAGTTCATCAGATGCTGAGCAAAGAAAGGAACGACAAGTTCTTTCTTATATTTTGATAATTCACAGGTCTTTCTTGCACCAGACCTGCCTTTCCTACAGAAGGCATTCTTTAAGTAGCAACTAGTCTTTCCCTCCTAGGATTATTTTCTCAGCTCTTTTCTCTGTGTCAGAAACCTACAGACTAGATAAGTAGAACACAGAAAAGATACTACATCATTAAACATAGATAGAGAAAGCAGTGGTTACTGACAGAATTTTTGGCGCAGCTAGAAAGGTAAGAAGTATGAAATAAAAGTGGCTTTTATTTTAAGAATGTGGAAAGAGACTCCATGACCTCCGGGGTCTGGCATTCTCTCTGCCCGACACGTGGTGTGGGGCATACATGTAGCTTAGGTATGGGGTGGTGCCTATGGGGCATTACTGATGCACAGGTAGCCCATTGGAATTCATTTCGCTCCACAGGTAAATTGCCCAGGGACGGGAAGGTGACCTCAAGATAGAGCCTCTTGGTTCTGCCTGCCAACCTCCCACCGCTGCAGCTTCCCATCCAGGGCAAAATCCTTTCAGTTACAAAACCCAGCTGTCCTCAAAATCGCCCAGAGAACCCTTGAATGTTAGGGTCAAGGGGCCCACTCCAGATCACCTGAATCTCTGCCCTGAACACAAACAGCACAGTTCCACAGTGCCAGCTCCACAGAGGAAGTAGAAACACCAACTGCTCCATTCTTCCCAGCCACGATGGTCACCGCAGAGACACCCCAGTGTCAGTGGTGTCATCAAGAAAGTGGCAGCAAGGCAGCTGCTAATGCTGGCACTTGAGGACCTGCATAGCTGAGCTGAATCTGGACCCTGGTGCTCTTTCTTCCTGGTCTCTGGATCTGAGAAAGTGGGTTAGCATCTCTGGTCTCTGGTTGAACATCTGTAGTATAGCAATAGAACAGCACCTCACTAGTAAGACTGTTAAATGAGGAGTGAAGGTTAAATGAGTAAAAGCACGCAGAGTGCCTTTCCAGTGCCTGTGATGGGCGGTATGCTCAGTAGCTAAAGCAGCCTGTCCTTTTATGGCTATCAAACATTTACTGAAAGCCAAATGGATTCCTATGACATGCTTTCCATTGCCTGTGTATTCTATGACCAAAATATAAGTGATCGGATTTGACAATAAAGAAACTAAGACACAGAGGATGTGAGTGGCCAGCAAGGAGACTAAATAGGCTTAGTTTAGAGCAAAGTAAATATGCTTCATTTAGACTCCAGGCTCGAATTTCCCTCTACCTGGAAAACAATGTTACAACTCTACTGCTACTGTTCCTTCCTTAAAGTTGTCTGCTTTGTCTCACTCTGGTCAAAAGCCCTCAATTTTTTCTAGGAGATCTAGCTCAATATATTTCTAAAAGGAAAGAGGGGAGAGGGCATTCCCTTCATCTTTCTGAAAAATGCCCTTCCTGCCTTTTGTCCCTCTATATTTCGAACTTCAGGAAACAGGAAATAGATTAAATCAGCAAATTAGTTGTGAAATGAAAGACACTTTCCATCTCTGTAAAAATAATATTTTTAAAAGTGTGAAGACAGGTGTTTTTGTTTGTTTCCTAAGACCTAGATGCTACTGTTGCTGAGATGACAGAGGACAATTACCAGGTTTTGCCAAAATAATCTTCCATGGTTCAAAAATAAATAATTGTCAGGTTTTTTGTTGCTGATGTAAGGAGAGAACTATCACTATTATGTTTCAAAATGTCTCTTCCAAAGTCCTTACGCCCTAAGCCTGTTCCTGAAAAGGTGTTGTCTTTGTGTTGAATTAGTTGAAATCATTAGTAAAAATCACTAGTAAATACCAAAGGTGAAGACTGAGAGAAAAGTTGCTTAAAGGAAAATATGAATTAAAAGACAATGTCAAATCAGTAACAGCTAGAAAAGCAAAAATTTTCTGGTACCAAGTTTGGTTGAGTTCCTATGTCAAACCTGAAGATTTACATAATAATGTTAGGGCTTGCTAGAGCTGTGTGACAAGGTTCCATACTAAGTAGCCTTGAACAGCAGCTATTGTCTCACATGCAGCCTGGAGATTCAGAATGCACCAACATGCCCTTCTCTCTGAGAGAGCCAGGGTCTGTTATCTATCTCAATCTTTCTTCTTGCTCTTGCCACTTCTTGGCGTGTGGCATCATAATGCTAAATTTCATGTGACTTTTTCCCTGTGTCTGCATCTATGTTTAAATTCTCCCTTTTTATGAGGACATCAATCCTTTGGACTAGATCTCACATACACACACTACTGTAGGACCTAATCTCAACTCATCATGTCTGCAGCAATTCTATTTACAGATAACATTATTTTCTGGGGTACACAGTTTATGACTCCAACAAAGGAATTTTGGTGAGGAAACAATCATCCTATAATATCAAACCTTTCATCTTACAGATGAGATGAGATAAATGCAGCTTCGATGGCCTTGAAGCCATTGAAGGGTCCAGGCCACGGATGAAGAACTGAGAGATGAGCCCAGGGCTTTTCCTCCCCCAATCCTGTACAACTGCTAACTTATGTAAGGAAAATGCTCAACATCTATTTTTCTTTTTTTTTAAATTTTATTTAAAAGGAAAAAGAGAAAAAACAAAACAAAACAAAGCAGTGTAAGGGTACAAGTAATACAGAACTACAAAAAAAAAAACAGTATGAAATCATCGGTTAATAGATTACATATTATCATCTTAGAGATAGTTGCTCAAATCACAGTATCAAAGCATACAAAGTGGACACTCAAACAGTGAGACTGCAAACAGTTGTGTTCAGTGATCCAACCAAAAACATTAATATGGTCAGCTATTTAACACCCCTAAACACACTTGCTGTTGTATCATTTAGAACTCTTTTTTTCCCTCTCTTTTTTAACAACAAAATTTACACATTTTGGCTTTTATTACTCCTTAGTTCTTATTACTTTTTGGGGGGGTGGTGGAATAAAGTCAAATATGGCAAAACAAAGCTGTCAGTCAAACCAAGGATAGACATAGCACATGATGTAAAACAGAGTACAAGGTCATCAACAATGGTTATCAACAATGTCTCTTGTTTCCTTAAAAAGAATTGTCTATCTCATTATATATTATAAAGTTGAACAAAACAGTAGAGAACAAGACCAATAAAACTTAAGCATTGTAAACATTACAGGACTTCCAAAGGAGACAATAGTCAAACCAGAATGGGCATCTTAGTGAATCTTACTGCCTTCAAAGTAGTTGCCTATACCCTCAAACTTGATACTATCATACAGAATGGAACAGAGTCTAATCAGTCAAAACAAGATAGTGGGAGTATTACAGGACTTCAAAACAAGTTAATAGGAAATCAAAAAAGTTACTATTATATACCCTGCTAATTTTTTTAATTTTTCCCCTTAATTAAAAAAAACATAAAAAAAACTAAATAATTTTTTAATGAATAAGGCAGAGATTGAGATAAAACAGGACATAACAATATAACAATACAGGTCAAAGCATGACTGTTTCAGCAAACTAGTGGTTCACCACCAAATAACCTGACTTAATAGTAGATACCATAGTGTCTGTCTTTTTCCTTGAAATATTTGAATAAAACTTCATATACTATAGCTTCAAGTATTTCCATATCAAGAAGCCCAGAATAAAGCCTTTCCAATTAATAAGTGAAAACTTTATAAGGCTTCAAGGCCACCTAATGGGGAATCATGATTACCACATATTTTTATATCTTTGAATCATTACTTACATTAGGGAAACTATTCAGTATTCATACATGCGGGATTGATTTATTTCACTTATGAGTATGGTCTCAAGCTGCGCCCATTTATTGATAAATATCTCAATGTGATCCTTCCTTATAGCTGAATAATACTCCATTGTATAGAAATACCACAACTTTTTTATCCATTCCTCAGTTGATGGACACTTGGGTTGTTTCCAAGATCTGGTGATTACAAATTGTGCTGCTATAAACATAGGTGCACATATATCACTGTGGTATGATGCTTTCAGTTCTTCTGGGAATATGCCTAGAAGTGGAATAGCTGGAATAAATGGGACTTCCAATCGCAGCTTTTTGAGAAATCTCCAGACTGACCTCCACAAAGGCTGCACCAGTCTACACTCCCACCAACAGTGTAGGAGAGTTCCTTTTTACCCACAGCCTCTCCAGCATTTGTTGTTGTTGGTTTTCTTGATCCTGGCCATTCTTTCAGGAGTGAGATGATATCTCAGTGTCATTTTAATTTGCATTTCTCTAATGACTAATGATGATGAACATTTTTTCATGTATTTATTTGCCATTTGCATTTCTTCATCTGAGAAGTGTGTATTCATCTCAGATGCCCATTTTTGGATTGGATCTTTGAATTTTGGGGGTCTGAGTTTTTTTTAATTCTTTATATGTTTTAGACAAGAGTCCCTTGTCTGAGAGAGAGTTCACTAAAATCTTTTCCCAGTTTGTGGGTTTTCCTTTTACTATGCTGGAGATT